TCACTCACTCACTCACACACGCGCACGTACACACAATTACGAAATGTCTTCCACAGACTAATGACAGCTGTATTTGCACAGCAATGACGGTGAAAGAAATTCGATACATGTATTTTAAGGCTGTCGTACTCACGTTCCCCAAAGTGAGCTATTTTTACACCTGAAATTTTGGTCGCGAGTTGGGAAGAATTTTCGTGTCTATTCCATGCTGGGTAGGCTGGTGAATGTTTGAACCTTTGAAGTGCGTGAATTGGAATCGATCGGTCGACAGACTAGATGCACGATGACTCGAAGAATTCATAAGTAATGAACATTAAAACAATGGCTTACGTGAGATATTTGTTCCAGTTTGGACATTGCGTATTCCAGCTTTTTTCGGTCCACATGATCATGAGGAGTATGTGCCAACAGCTCGTGTAGTGTAATGATATAGCGGGGAATCTATGCAGTTGAAAGTGGGAAATTACTGTGCATTAAAATCACTCACAGTCGAACGTAGTAGGAGACTTTACACAATTTGTATAGTCGAATGGCGTTCTACGGGTCACCGTTGCACCACCGTCGATTAGATTCATGATCTTCAGTTCTGTTCATCATCTTCAATCTTGATGTTTCGTGAATTAGTTCATCCCATTATTGGTTGGAGCACGTATCAGGTAACACATGTGGTTCCCGCCAACTCCAACTCAGCATGCTTTACAACAATAGGACATGTGTGTTTTTATTGGAATGGCCTTGGGTGTCTCGTGGTGAACGTGGATCTCCGTAAGCACATAAGAACTGTCCTCTGTTTTTTGTGTCACCCCCACTAATCTCACTAACTGTAGATATTTTGAGGACACGTGGTGCCGTGCTTTTTGTTAAAGCCCTGGAAAAAGGTTTTAAAAACGGCGAACGTTCAGTTTTGGCGGTCAGCCTCCGAAGATTCGTCCGTTTATGTTACCTCGGGCTGTTTGAGCTCCGTTCATTCTTAAGGTAGTATGAGGCAGTTTGTATTTCGTGCAATTTTATACCATATCATAGAGGCGTTCCCATCGTTGGAGCGATAAATTGCGCTCACCATATTTCCTTTATTTTTGTTACTACCTGACCAATTAAAGTAGGCACCGATTGAAGAAAGTTCACCAAAACCTCATTCGAATTTGTGAGTTGTTCGGGCACCTCTTCACTACAGCAGTAATCTGCTTCTGAATTTCTCATTACTTCCGAGTCAGCTTATCGAGCACTCTCCCTAGTAATCAGAATTCTATTGACCAGTTGTCCTCAGAATCTCTGTTTAGCTCCGTCAACTGAAAGTTGGTCCTGCAATCGGTTTGCAACCATTTGGACGACATGTGAAAAGACAGTACTCACTTAGGTGGAAAAATAAACCAATCAGAATAAAGGAACAGAACTACTGAAGTACTAGTATCAAACGAACAAACCAGGTTCACCAAAGGAAGAGCAAATTACAACAAAATTTTAAACACCAGTAAAATTGCGTACGAGCTGGTTACTAAACAAACGACCATTTTACAGACAGAATTCATTCTCTAGAAAAAAATGCTAGAAGAATTGAAGGGGTCACACACCAAGCAGCGCACTGACTGTGTCTACTCACGTGGCGACGAAATGGTTACAAGCCACATGTCGAGCTCGCCAAGAGACCAACTGGGACCTGTTCGAATTTCAGTAAACTTACTTGAGATGTCAATACTTCGACATTACTAACTACATCCATTTGATACTCATGTCGAATTGATATATATATATATATATATATAAAGTGCTCATGAAACTGTTCGGCCTCGGGAGATGACTCACCTGGTGCATAGGATAGGTGAGGAAGGATTCGATGGAGCGTCCTTCACACATTGGTTTCTCTTCCAAGCGCTTCAGCATTTGGGTAAATTCCTGACGTTGCTTGTACTCGGCCAGAACTTGCAACGAATAGTGGTGATTTCGCACATACTCCTGATAAATGCCAACCATCGGTAGGAATAAGTCGAAAAGGTCACCTGAAAATGGGTAACATATTCGGCTTCAAGAAACTTCTGCATAAGTAAGCAGTTTTTTGGTACACACTGAAAAAAACCGATAATTTTTGAGATTTCATGAGCAGTTAATTTTTGGGAGTATTTCTGTTGTACCAATTGTTTGACTATCTTGGCTCCTATCTTCCAGCCTGGGCAACCTCATCTGAGTAAAAGTCTTTCAAGATTTATGAACGATAATTAGGAGAATATACACTGGGGGTGGACTGCTTTTTGGGATTCAATCTCTTTTTCTGGATGTCTTGGCTTACTGCCTTTTGAAAACGCAAATCATGCTAGCTGGCGCGCACTGGGAGTAGGATGTAACGAAACACCCAACTCAAAATAGATAATGCTGTAGACTGTGTGCCAGAAGAAAACACTGACGACATATTTGCGGTCAACAACAACTCCTTTGTGTGAGATTTCGCAGACATGTTATCGACGGATATATCGATACGCTGACGAAACACTGATGCCCGAAGGTCGAGTGAGTGAAGGTGAGTAACCAACACCACAAATCAAGGATCTTCAGCCAAAAATTGATCGAGTAACAAATAGAGCATGTTGGACAGATTTTGTGGTTGAGGTAGAATCAAATAGACTTAAGTTGATAAGGCATGATCTTACATCCCAATTTCTTTTGCACATCCCTCAAGGATCTATAACATCTCCGGTTATCCTTTCCGTGACAGTCATGGTTACTCTCACTGCTTCTGCATTAATCCGGTGATATGGCCGGTAGGTTTGTTGCTGGACAACGTCCTTGACAATTTACTCCACAAGTCACTTTAGTAACCGGTGATCAGTTGATATGGACAGGTGCTCTTCGCCAGAATCATTGTACATTGGTCAGTCAATGGTCACGATGTGGTGATGAGCTACGTCTCTCGCTCTTTCACAATGCTCCTGAGGTGATGGCGTATACTACTCATGAAAACCATGAGTAACACTTGTTTTGCAGCAATTTAATTTTCCTTGCGTTGATGTCAAACACTCAAACAAGTTCAGAAAAATAGTTTAGAACACAGAGTTCCTCAAGCCTTACGAAACGAGCCACTTGCTTTAGTGTCAGTTTTGTTGTGTCTGCTGAGTTTGTGATTCACACTTATTGACTTCACGTGGGGCAGTATTCTTCCTTCTACGAATGGACGAAAAGCGGGGACTGTTATATATGCACACACCCTCCCGAGAAGCCGAATGCTGGAGATTTCATTCATCACTTCGAGTCGTCTTCTAATACTGATGATTCCAAGCGGTGGAGTGTCTTCATGAATACTTTGGCAACCGTTTTGACTGGAGAAATCTGTAAAATGCGCTCCCGGTTTGTGACTGAAGCAACTAAAACATGAGGTGCAGCACATTCAGTCGCTCAGAAACATCGTAAATATGGACTCAGCTGGGTTCCAGTTGAGTTGCCCGAAGAAACAAATTCATTTGCAAATGAGTGTATTTCGCTAAGTTCGTGCAATTTGGGTTGAGATAGGAAATGGGTTTGACGGAAACTTCTGGAGTGAGCTACCTGATGAGCCCTAAGAATGGCATAACCGGTCGTGAGGCGTCGAAGAATTTTCGGCAACCTTCTGAGTAGTGTATTACGAACTACAGTTCCGCTTACCCACCCCAGTGATACATCTAAAAACCAATCCTGATCATTCTGTCCATCATCGATTCACGTGCTGAATCGCTTAGTTTGATTGGCTGGCTGCTGACATCATGCCAAGCACAGTTGCACTGCATTCTGGTATAATAAGCCGGTATTGAACTCTCACCCTAGTTAGCTCAAATCAGACACACAACCCGTGAGTGATCGTAGCAGATCTACACAGGAACAAGAGTTTAAAAGCGAAGGGAAATGCCGAGAATTGCAAAGCTTACCGAGTTGCAAAGTTGGCCAGTTTTCCATTTTGTTCCGAAGGCCCTGCACGAAGAATTGGTGCAGGAATAGAACAGTTTCACTGAGGGAGGAAGAAACAGGAAGAAACCTTGGTTGTTCATAAAATATCATTTTGCTGTCAAATAGCTATCGAGTGATTTACAAAGGATGGAAACGAAAAGTCCTCAAAAGGGCGAGAAGAGATGAGGTCCCATAACTCACCCGACCGTACAGTGCGTCCACTGAGCCCACGGACGGACTGATAAGTTTCAGTTTATCGATGACGTCTGAAACGTGGGTCAGTACCTTAAACTCATTGTAACCTACTTCATGTTTCCTTGCGTTTTTCTTGACACGTTCGTGTCTTTTCTTACCACCGAATTTCAGAAGGGCTGGAACAAGTACTTTTGTGGAAAAATCAATCGAATCCTGATTAGAAGCCCATTTTTGCCTGTTCCAGTATTAATTTTCGCGAGACACTTCAAAATATTTTGCTACATCATGCACCACAGAAAATGTGACCGTCACATGTTTGCCTCTTTGGTTGAGATAGATGACTGTCAGTATGAGAGGCGCAAACTACTGAGTCCATTTCAGCAACAAAGGAAGAAGACTTAAGTCGCAAGATTTGAACCCCCCATCAGCCCTCGTAAAATAGTAAACACAGTATACTGCTTTACAAGGTGGAATAAAGGTGAAGAGATCTTTGTAGGTCCCTGTAAATGAGTTCTTTCTGGCTATCGCCCGTCTTCTAAGAGCCTTATTTGTGCGTCCTTGACAAATAGAAGTAAACCAACTGATGTTATTTCCCGACTTATGTCTTGTCATGGTGGGAAGAATAGTCAAGGTGGCACAATATAATATCATGGAAATATCGAACTGATATTCATACAGAAAACGGAGGTATGTTGTACGGCTAACGCAGAGAATACCCTACCCGGGTTTGAACTTGACGATGTAACCTGTACATTTCAAGCTCTTTCATTATGCTATACAGACGAAAATTAGTCATTTGAGGCATTGATAATGACTTTCAAAGGCGGGACAACGAATATCAGAAAAAGTCCTTTTGCCCCCCCCAATATCAGACAAAGTCCTTTGTGCCCCCCCCCCAGAGTACGGATACTGTTAGACGAACATTTGCCGGCTCTACCTTGATTATAACGCACAAAAAGGGATGGCGGCTCACATCAAGTAATTTGTAGAAAACGTGATTCTCCCAAGGATTTTAATTTCGCGAAAATGCGGTGATCCGTTCGGACAGGTAGTCACACTACAAAGAAGCCAACATTAAACGAAACAACTCATTAGCTGCCTCATCGATACCAAAAGTGTGATGAATCCAAGAACCCGCACGGACTCAGTGACCACTACAAGGTCAGCATGTCCGAAATAATCTAAGTTGTGTCCATCATTTATTTAATCATGGTTATCCTAACTATGTTTGCACGACACATACCTGCAGGCACATGTCTGTGTGAAATCCGACGTGAGATTGGAGAGGCCGGCCTGTTCAGTTGACCAAAGTTGTTTATACGCAAACATATGACAAGTGTGTGAATTCAATCTATTGGATGATTTAGTTCACCCTTGAACCGTAGAAGATTCCGATATGCATAAAGTTTTAACTACTCATTAGTAGAACGATTAAATTCCTGAATATAGACTGGCCTATGAAATCCAAGCGAAAGGACAGGCGTCGGACGGGACTGAAATCTAGATTCATCTTGAGATCAGCTAAGGACCTAGGTTAGTGGCGTCTTCTAAATGCAGTTTTTGGAACATGCGTTGGATAAGCTTCTTTGTACTTCTACTAGTTACTGGAAAATAGCCTGCTTGAGGCACCATTAGGGGGTACCTCTTGCGATACACTGAGAAGCTGACCCAATGCACGGTGGTGCTTGTTTTCTAAATCCAATTACTCATTTCAATGATCCACTTACACATGAACGCATAGCAGAGGCTGAAACTTACGGTTTTGTTGCCAAGCAGTTGCCAAGCTCAGCGAAAAACCTGGGCTACTAACTTGCTCTTCTAATTCAGCCCCAAAAATGCCAGAGTGTGATAAAGGTTTCCTAAGAGTATAGTATACTATACCGTGATAATAAAGACGTACACATTTAGAAATATGGAGTTGACGTCCTCGTGCAGTATGATTGGCTTTTTGGAACTGGCGGCCATTCGGAATGGACGTAAGTAACACGTAACCAAGATAGACAACTGTTGGACGTATTCATCTTCGCATTCAACGAGACCGAATACGATACTGTTTCGCCTCCGCATAGATTCTGCATGCTCCGATCGGATATACTCTTCCACAATCTGCTTCCATCGGCGTCGACATAACCATCCACGGAAAAATGACTGAACCTGAATGCGGAAGGTGTGATAATGAATAGAGATAAAGTTATGCTACTGAAATAATTGTAGTAGCTTGAATTAAGTGGGATGCCATCACGCTCTCATGCAAGCAAGAAGCAGTGTAACTGAAATCTCTCATATAAAAATCTGTACCTGTCAGTGTTACTGCTTAGTTGAAGCACTTGAAACATTTTTGTTGTACACATCAGCCACACCACACGGTCAGCCCTCCAATACTTTGAAGGTTTTCAGATCCAAAACAGTTTTTTCCAAATTGTCTTTAAATGATGGTATCTTCAAAGTCAGCGAAAACTGTGCTAAAACACTTCTCACTGTTTCAGGCTGTGTGTGTAATGACGCAGTTTGTACCGTGAAATTAGGACATTTAATTCCTGAAACTGCATATTCAGATTTCTAGAGTCTTTAGTCGATGCAATTTAAAAATCCCGAGTTGCCTTTTTGATTGATAAAGTCAAGTGCATTTTAGTTTTTATTTAGTTCAGTAATTTTTGTTTACCCATGTGACACTCTGTTATCCTCAAACCGTATGCTCCCACGCGGCTGCGGCTCACCGCATTCAAGTTCACTCTCATGTATATTTTAAAAGAATCACGACAATCTTCACGGCTCTTATCGAAAAACTCCGGGATTCTGAGGCAATATGACTCTTTAGATCGTTGTACTAACTGATGGAGTGATTTGAATGTTGTTCTTGGACTTTTATTTTCCGCCATCAAGATCTCCGAATATGAAACCGCACTTTGGCTGACTGTTGGGATATGTCCTCAAGCCTTGGAAAATTCATACAAGGATTGTTTTTAGCTTTGCTTATTGGGTTCTTCTAGCGTGAAAGAGGAAACTTTTACAAGAAATTGGAGAGTTACTGGACGGATCAAGTGTTTGAGAAAAAGCTTCACCCAAACTTCCTAGGAATAAATAACTCTAGTGAAATACCGGATACTCTGACGCAGTTATCGAACGCTGTGTTGGAGGTCTGATGGAGTGATTTGAATGTTGTTCTTGGACTTTTATTTTCCGCCATCAAGATCTCCGAATATGAAACCGCACTTTGGCTGACTGTTGGGATATGTCCTCAAGCCTTGGAAAATTCATACAAGGATTGTTTTTAGCTTTGCTTATTGGGTTCTTCTAGCGTGAAAGAGGAAACTTTTACAAGAAATTGGAGAGTTACTGGACGGATCAAGTGTTTGAGAAAAAGCTTCACCCAAACTTCCTAGGAATAAATAACTCTAGTGAAATACCGGATACTCTGACGCAGTTATCGAACGCTGTGTTGGAGGTGTCAGTATCCCCCAAAACCGTTTATTTTTTATTTATTACTAACTTATTTGTCTAAAATTTTGACTTTTTAAATTTCGCGCCTGTCTGCCATGTTGCATCTTAATCCAAAAAGACCGCGTCCCAGTTAGACTTTGTGTGCGCTAACTGATTTGTTGCTCTCCAAGGTCGCCCGAAATACATATTTGTGACTGTGCTCCCGCTGCAGTTTGCCTTTGGTTCAAGCAGTAGAAGCTCTCTTCTGAAGGTCTGCTCTTCTTCTCTCTGCTCTAGGAGGGGTGGGGCTCGCCTCATAGTTGAGTATTTGTGCGCTCGTTCTCAGGTCGCGTACAGCCGCTGATCGTAACCGCTTCCGTACATAACACACTGTTACCGAACCTTCATTGATAAAAGCACACAGAAACTGGACAAAACGGTTTTCTTGACTATTCACCTATATGCCACTTTGAGACCTACCATAGGTGTAGTGACATAAACGTTTGAGAAGGTGCAGCCACTGAGCTAGTATATATGAGCTAGTGTATATGCTTTTTAGTAGCGTGTCAATAATTCGAAGGCGGTATGAATGAGAAAGCAATTAAAAAAGGACTTTTTAGTTGCGACCTGTGGCTTACCTCATTGGAAAATTAATTGGTTGAGAAACCCTACGTGAGTAAAATGCAGTTCTTTGAACTAAGACAGGTTTTCGGTTGATGGTCACATTGGATATCACTGCAAACTTTCACCAATTCGTTGTCTTTCGGATTGATATAATTGTTACGAGACGGTCCTCTGTGGATCTGGCCTGGATTAGTATGAGAAAGTTAGGATTCAACACGACCTCTAAAATTCGACTAGCGTTTCCTGGGACGTGTGTGCAAGCTTCCAGACAAGTCTCCATTAAAGCGAGCATCCCTCAAGGACCTGTGACCTCTTCAGTCATCCTTCCCGTGACGGCCATCGGTACGCTCTAGTACGCCGCTTCACCTTACTCCAGCCTACATGCTTCGGTAATATAGCTGGCTGGATTGCTGCTGGACAAGAGCTCTGACAATTCACTCCACAAGTCACTTTAGCAACTGGTGATCATTTGATACGCCGTATTATTATTACTACCATTATTATTATTATTACAAGAAAGTTGCCGTTAGGTTTGGATGTTAATCTTGATTCAACCAAGAGAGTTCCGGCCTGTAATGGCAACCTGGACCGCATAAACATGAAAATGTGTCTTTGAAACGAAACCCAATTTTGGTGTATCATCCACCACCTCAACCTCAAGAGTCACGTGAGTGATCCGCAATTTCAAACAACAAAGTAAGAAAGGCGTCGGGGACAACGTACAGTATACCAAGAACTGTTTTCAGGCTATAATGAACCGACCGGCCTCAAACTTATCCATACATGTAACAAAAGGGCTGGACAAACGCAAGACGAAATGGGCAGTATATCGGCTTCATCAGTCTCCATCGATCAAAAGCGCAGTAAATCTGTACTCATTCGTACACCAGTCTGGTTTTGACAACAGACCCACCTAAATCCAAGCCAAATATTCTGAACAAAGGTCGATCCATCATCAGGTTGCTCGGTTAGTATGTTTCCTTGGATGCAACTACTAACAGTACTGCTAAAAACCTTTGGATGGCATGTTTTGAGACGGTGGTTTTCCCTAGAATTTCATCCAACAAGGCTTTAAGCAAAACAAGGCAGAACTCTCCAATGCAGCGGAAGCCGTTTAAGGGGGCGACTGCACTTGACGATACAAGAGCTTAGTCGTGCATCAATCTCACCTAGTACACTACTCATATAAAGTAATTTTTTTCAAGATTCGTCCAATACTCCACTGAATAACAATGACAGGCTATCGATGTTGACCTAACCCATGGTTGCCTACCCCTTCAGGTGCGTCTGTGATGCGTCGGCCGTATGACCCGTGAACCCTTTCTGAAGCGCTAATCAAGTAACAGCGTAGGATCAATTTGAAGGAATCCTCACGTGAATATTACAGACCATCGGGTAGAAACGAAGTAGATATACAGCTTCTCACCACGGCGGCTCGAATATGTACTCACATGTACCGAAAACAGTTGTATAAACTAGTATTAGGCTGTTGCCCCCCGTTCTTTGCAAACATACAAGACTAGCTAGGACTGTCCTGCCAAGTTGCCCATATGTCTTGCGTAAGACTGGCGCACTGTCGGATTAGACATGACTAGGATTATGACAGCAGTGTGAATGCGCTCACGCACACAGACACTTGAAAGAGACACAGTGTGACTTTTCCTTCATTCCACTTTGTACACGTTGTTTGTTTGTTATGTCTCTTTGTCCGTCGATCATAAACACCAACAAAAGACGGTATGAAAAAGGTTGTTGGCCTATTATGCACTGTCCTCAACTCTCCATACTACTGAGAAGATGGCTGACAAGTTCTACGATGACGATATTAATCCTCCCCAGTATGGTGGAATTCATTATATGCTACAAGATGTTGCAAACGTGGAATGTAGGATGACCTGCACTAAGTGTACCCAGAAAGGGAAAGCAGAACAGTGATTTATCATCATCATCATCATCATCATCATCATCATCATCATCGTCATCACCATCTTCGTCAGTATCATCATCATCATCATCACTATCATCATCATCACCAACATCATCATCATCATCAACATAAACAACATCATCATCAACATCATCGTCATCATCATTGTCGTCATCATCATCATCACCACCATTTTCAGTCCCATTAAGAGTGACCCTGCAATACAACCGTGACGGTTAATTTGAATAAAGCCTTACAATGAAAAGAACAAAGACAGGATTCAGGGAGAAGAACATTGGGGTAGCCTGAAACAAAAATCCGAGGTTCCAGAAGGGCTTGCTAAGCAATCCGTAGTTTTTACATCTGTAACATTTCGTAGTTGACACAAAAGCTTCATCAGGCCAAGTGAGCAGGTCCAAAAATTGACCAGGCTAAGACAGACGGGGAACCAGTCAGTAAGGCCTCTTCAGATTATCACGCTAGATCAGTATTCTGTGTCAATTAACAGCTCTTGTCGGTTAGTGTGGTTGCCAAAATCTTGCTTTGGTGGATTGGGGGAGTTTCAAATTAATTCTGATCGGGATCCAGGTGAGTCTCTCAAAAAACCAAATTAGTTTGCAAATGAGTGTATATTCGCTAATTTCGTGCAATTTGGTTTCGAGTAGAACATAAAGTTGACGGAAACTCGAGGAGTGCGCCTACCTGCTGAGCCCCAAGAAGGGTGAAACCGGTCTTGGGCTGTCGGGGAGTTTTAAACAACCTTATGAGCAGTGTATTACAAAATATATAATTCTGATCGGGTTTGGTTCCTTAATCTTCCACTTCAGGTTGCTTCAACTAATGAGTCACCTCGGGTGCCACTGGTAGATTTTCCTTGGTCATTGTGGGGTTGTGAGTGTTCCGAAAACTTAGTTCGACGGGGGGGGCGGTGCGGTCAAGTGGAATTCAGATGATGACTACTCCTCTCTCTGATCCAACACTTAGTCAGGCACTTACGATAAACATTGACAGCATGAATACCACTTAATTCCATTAACCATCATGTCGTTCAGTGCTCCCAAACAAGCACAGGCAGGATTACAAACAGACGATTGCTATTCAAATATCTGATACGGGAAAGTCCTTCAAAACGTAGAGACCAGCGGGGAAGACCGGTTTTTGCGGTTTCCCAATCAACTCCTACGGGAATGTACAATTAAGATGCCTTACAATGTCTGACTTTCCTGCTCGCATCTTCATTTCGGCGGCCGAACATCCACTGTTCTACTGAGAGCTATCAAGTGTTTGTTAGTCTGTTTCCCCTTCGAGTCCAGATCTTATAACGGGATTTATTACTGGAGTCCTGGATTACTGTACTGAGTGGTCGAATTGCCATGCGTACTAAAATAATAGTGAAAAAGGTAGTTGGCAAAACTGACGTTGAGAAGAACGTTGCCCACGATGATTCTGAGTAGATGGTGTTGATGACGACGCCCATAACGGTGATGCATTCCCTAATTTAACTTGTTCGTGTTTGTCCTCGCTCCATGCACAACCCCCGCAAGACGTAAACAGACCGCCAATGGTATCCCAATTCCACCGCAGCGTAAAATATTTTCAAAGATGATTCTATCGAACGGTAAGTTACTACACATTTCGAAAATTGTCACAGAGAATCGGTGGAAGCTTTGGGATATTTACCACACGCCAAATGGTGGCACGCACATTTGTTGGGACCTCAAGTGCAGACAAACACAGATATGTTCGCGTCCGATCTGTCACAAATGTCGAGTCTGATAGAATTCGACTGTTGTGGAATGACTTTATGGAGTGATTTTTGATATTTAAACGATGAATTCCCGTTTAAGTACGTCAAATTTGTGGAGTACGCACTGATATTTCGACTGGAGTTGTGAGAGCGATGTGATGAGCAGAACGTTTTATCGACATTGTTCACCAGTTCGCCCCATACACAAAATGGTCCAAAGGCGCAACAAATTTAGCGTTGGTGATAAAACCACAATGAATAATTTGGAGTGATCTAACTGAATAGTGATCACTACAAACAAATGTAACTTATGGCCCCCTTGTCGTGGAAGACTCTTCGGAGTTCGGAAATAAGCATATCATGTAGTGGAAACTGAGAGAGTTCACAAGTAGTTCTATAAACAATATATCTAGCGATCTCTGACCGAAGTCGCTTTTTAACGTAAATATATGGAAGCTGTCATGAAATGGTTCTTATCTTCTCTTCCGCGTGCGCTGTTTCTTGAGACATCATTTGATCAGGTCACTTTGTTTTAATTGGTCATGAGTAGTGTGGGACGATTAGACAAAAGCAGTTAAAAACCCACGGCCGGTTCCGCGCTGTTTCGAGCTTATTGATCAGGGTTATAATCCAGGAATTGAGGAAATCGGTCCCTTAGTTGGGCTAACTGCCTTGGGGTTTATGTGCATGACGAGGGGCGGAATGGCTCAGTGGTTAGTGGGCGGATTTACTGACTGGAAGGCCCGTGGTTCGAACCCGACCTCCGCCTCTCGACTTGGGCAACCTGGGAGTATCTCAGCCCTCATACTTCCTTCTGGTGACATGGCAGCTAGGCACCGAAAGGGTGTTACAGCTGAGCGATTATTATTATTATTATCATTATTATTATTTACAAATGACGAAACTTCTGGGGCAGGAAACTTGCTCCAGTCACTCCTGATCACTAGTATATTTTCTGACGACCCTGTCTGCCTGATGAGCCCCAACTAGTGAGAGAGACTGATGTCCACTATCCGCATCGTGACATTCGATTTAGAAATAAGAGTTTCATCAAATATCTTTGTAGTGGAACAAAACGCATGTGTGCTACGGATTATGCGGAAAGTTCTGGTTAGCTCTTGACAATGAGGAATTCCATTGAGCTCCCAGAAATTTTTCCACTTTGGAAAGGATGTTGCCACATCCGACTCTGGCTCTGTGGAGTTTTCCTCCCATGTGATGGCTTCGCCCCCATGTGATCCGCCTTGCACTTGGCTAGAAACCTCGCACAAAATGGATACTTTGTTGATTTCGAACTCGGTTACTCAACTAACTTGGGTTTGTTCTTTGTGAATCTCATAAATGAGAGGTTCAGCTGGGATTCTGTTGAGTCTTCTGTCAAGACCGACTTGATGTGTAGAATCTTCTGTAAAATGGGGTAAGGTACGAACGAAACGTTGATAGGGACTCAGGAATCGCGCCTATGCGATGAGCCCAAAAAGGACGGGACTAATCGTGGTTTGTTGAAGCGTTTTCAGCATTCCACGGTAACAGATGATGGGTGCATTTCCCCAACGACGTTTTACTTCAGCGTTATGCAAAGGTGTGTTGACTTCGAGAAATACACCCATTTGCAAATCAATTTGGTTCTCACAAGAGACCCAACTGAACATCCCGTTTATGATACTCTACAACTGAATGTGCTGTACACGGGCCGCCTCATGATTCATTTGGCACGATATTCGAGATATCGCAGTATATTCTCATAAAGAGCACTACTCACAAGGTTGCTGAAAACTCTTCGACAGCCCACGAGCGGTTTCGCCCGTCTTGGGGCTCATCAGGTAGGCACAGTCCCCGAGTTTTCGTCAACCTTATGCTCAACTTGAAACGAGAGATTCAGTCGAGTCTCTCGTGAGAACCAAATTGATCTGCAAATGAGTGTATTTGTCGAAATCAGTCCAATTTGGGTTCAAGTAGAACATAAGATTGACAGAAACTTAGGGACTTCGCCTGTCTGATGAGCCCCAACAGGGGCGAAACCGGTCGTGGGCTGTCGAAGAGTTTTCAGCAACCTTGTGAATTGTCTCTTTTATGAAAAGGTGTTGACTTCGTTTCTGTTTGAAATTTATTTTCTTTAAGAAGGCTATGTATTACTTCTCCTTTGAGCGCTTGACACTTATGTTGCTTTTAATAGAAGCTCTGTCATAAGCATGCAGAACCTTGTACATAACAATCAGTAAATAACGCGAAAGATTCTGCACCAAGGCATCTGAGTTGTCGAGGAGGAAGTATTACAAATTGGGAGATCCGGAGAGCTGTTGGGTCCTTCAACAAAAGGATAAGCTGTAGTAGTAAACAGTAAAAGATCGATGTGGATTCGTCCAGTTGGCTACCTGAGCCTTGAGCCATTAGAAAGCCGTCAATTCAGTGACCAGCCTCCAAAACGTAGCCCTTCGAGAACTGCCACATGGTTTAGGTTCTCGTCTGGTAGTATTTTCTCATGAATCACAATATACTTCACCCTTCTTGGAACAACTTCTGGGGTAGAAATCATCCTGTCAGATACAGGGTACGCCATAGGAACCTGTTGAAGGTCAACTCCTGAGGGTTTTCCTGGGAAGTGACGCATTTTTAGGGCGTTCATTGTATTTCAAAGCAAAGCTCTACTCAACCGTGAACAGAGATTGATACACATATATGAAAACGAGGTCACAAACGCTATTCGACCCTTGCTGGCCAAGCTGCTGTCTGCAGGTTTTCGTCCTTCTAGTCACCTAGCCCTTCGCCACCCAGCTGCCATTCTGCTCAAAGAGAGCCCGAGGGCTGAAATACTGTCAGGTTGCCCAACCTTAAACATGAGCAGTCCAAGTGTCGGTGTTGGGTTCGAACTACAAACATTCCGGTCAGTGTGTCCTCGCGTTAAGCGCTAGCCAGCAGTAACAAGTCTGTGGGGTCCTTAACAATGGGATAAAAGACCCCCGTTTCCGTTAATTTTAAAACTTAAGGAATTTAGAAAATGCAGAGTAAAGTGGAATTTGAAATCGGTTCTTGTAGGTAGTGCGTTGCTTCTATCCGGGTCTTCAGTAGTTTAGCGAAGACACGAGCTCCAGGAATCCCGTTTGTGAAATCAACAGGTTAGGCTTGAGTACATCTTGAATTTTCACTGATACGCTTTTGGGGTACCGGCTCTAGGATTTAGGCAAACTTCAGGCAGCCTAGCTAACTATGTCACCGTGTCCCTAATGGTTTCGTCAACTGGATTAATCGTTTCAAAAAAAGCCTGAACGTGTGGATGTTTCAAACCAGTTTTCCGATCACAGGATTTTACGTATACTCTGTGCGACAGTGAACGGAACTGAGTCATGCCATGAGCATAGTTGGAGCTGTCTCTCTGTGTTGTACTTGTTGCACATGCCTCTCAAAAAAGTTGAAAAAGCCAGGTAGCATTTCAAAAAATGAGGGGCTGATACACATTACTTAATGCATATACACTAAAAAAACGGACGAAAATGGTAAGTAGTCCACAAAGCATTTCTATCGTCCAACCACGTGGATAGATTCTCTTCCAGTCGCTCTGTTATGCTCTTGTTTAAGTGAACTGCAAAAAACGTACCTTCTTGATTTTCCGCAGCTCATCTGCCTCGGCCACGTATTCCGGGCTGGCGCGTCGTTCGGCTCGGTATTCGTTTAGCTGCGGAGCATTGGAGCAAGCAATGAAACACGTTACAGTGCTCGGTCTGTTTGTTTGACATTCTTCAATCACGTGCAAATGAACAAAGCGATATCAAATGTTTTGTAATACGACTGTAGGTGGACAATACGTTCCTTACAAAATTTTCGATACTTGGCTAAGTATGATCTCTACCGAGACAACTTTTGGCCGGAAATGGGCGACAGACTACTGACAAGTCTGATGTCGCAAACATTTACCCCATTATGTGGTGGAAAACCGAGATAACTCGGAGTTTTACCGGTTGCATGAAACATTATTTTTAATTATTTTATTGCAGAAATCAGTCAATCGATTTAGCTTGTTGTCCTTGGGAACTTCAGTGGTCAGCGCCAGAAAAACATGCACCAGATGACTCGTTACCCATGTGCAAACCTTTCTCAGCTCTCCATAAAACGTCGTATTCTAACGAATTTGGCTTCTTCAGCAAGATTTTCAATGAAGCTGTTCACATACCTAGAGATGCCGATAAAACTAAAGAGAGGGTGGCATACTCAAGTGGCCGTTTGGCACAAGTCCCTATCCTAAACCGGATTCATCCAAAATTCGGTATGTTTATGCAGGTCCCCTGCGCAAGCCTAATTGTCTCTATAAAATATTACCAGATATTTTTGGAACAAGAGTTCATTCGTTCACTGTGATACTGTGAGAAATTTGACTATCACGTTTTCTCTATGACGTGGAAGCATGCTCTACAACGCCAAAACTATCTCTATTGAGGCAGGTGTCTCCTAAGTCTATCATCCAGCGGTTCGATTTAAAACTAGAGACTACCCAGATAAGTCCATTGACGTCCAAAACACGCCATGGCGTAATCAGGGGCCTGACTGCTCAGTAAATGGGTTTCGTCAGGCAGTAGTGTAAGGGAGATCACCTAACTTCTGCCATGCGGCACAAAACCACGTGCTGTGATCGGACGTACGTGCGCAGTCCTACACTCATCAAACATACAAATCAATCTCGCCAAATATCTGTGTCCCACAGGTTATGCACCCATTCAGTTTCGGTGAAACACGTTAGCAGAAAACAGATGGGAGCTTATACGAACTCATCTCTCTTAGTTGAGTCAGGTGACCAATCGATTGACCGATTGCCTGAAAACGGAAACCGGGATCCTGCCTCGTCAACCACCAAGTACGTCACGTGCATTAGACACGGAGTTGACTCGAGTACAGCGTTCGGAATTTCACTGCGCACCGTCAATTTGAAATTCTCAGATCAAGCAATATCGGCCCAGCTTGTGTTCACGGGTCAGAGGACATACAGTGTTTGACCATCGATGGAGCATTGCCAGAGTCTGGTGGAAACACCGGATCAGTAATGCTGAAGTACGTCGGGTGGCATTCGGAAGAAATAGCTCTCCCACGATAAACGAAATGATCACATTCCATAGGTTACGTTGGCTTGACCAGTTGGGCGACTTTGCTGAATATCTCTCTTCACGCAACCACATAAGGGTTAGAAACGAGCCAAGGGAGGTCGAACGATGACTTGGCGACAAAGTATGAAAGCTATTACCAGCAAACTTAGTTACGCTGGTCTCTGTCGTTTCACTGGGTGTGGACCCAGGGACTGAACATAATAATGGCTAAAGACATTTTAAGACATGGTCCATTCGGGCCTTTACTGGCGCTCATACATCCAAGCTATTGCTTTCACTGCATAGCTCTCCTTCCGATCTCCCCAATTAAACGTCCACTAGCAACCCTGTATTTAAGCATCAATTATGTCAGCTCCCGCCTCCATGGCACAACTCCTCAAATCATCGGTGAACGAAACGGTGGCAGCTAGAACCAACGTACGCCAAGAACGCGGTTCTTACGGCTGTTGGAGATGATAGTGATGAGTTAGTACGCACCCTGATACGAGCTGTCTCAGGGTACCTTGGACGAAAGAATCAAACCTGATTAGCTCATTGTACGACTGGCTCCGTCCCACTGATTTTATTGCATTGATTTATCCCATTGATTTTAGTGCAAAATTAATGATTTCCACTGCTGAAAATATTGTGTGCATGTTACATACACCAAAGTGAATCTATATGTGTCTACCTAACCTTTAGCTTTCTGAGTTCGCTGTACGATTCAGCTGCAAGTCACTGATGTTTTTCATCAGGCCCGTTGCTTGAAGCGACTGAACGCATCCGGGTATTTATGCTTGAACATGTGGACAAGTTTACACGGGAGCGATGCCTTAAGTTGAAGTGGAGGTATCGCCCCTCCCAAACACTGGTGATCCTTCCGGGGGAAAATAGTTTACGCTGTGAACTGTGTTCACATTCAACAACAGCTGATCGCAATAGCAGATAAATACCCTGGAGGTGGCTTTGCGCACATATACGTCCATGTTAGATTAGTGAGCAGGCAATGAGAAAAGGTAGCCTGAACAATGAGGCATTCCTAGGTTGTAGATTTTTGATGAGTGAACGGCATTAGTTGTGCGAGATACATGGGTTGATCAAATACAGTACACTCTAAATTAACGGACTTCCACAGCAAAACGAAATTCATCCCTTCATGAGTTTACAACCGGCTCTGCAGCAAACGTCGTCTACCGCCAGTTCATTTTGTCCGCGTTAGCCACATAAAAGTGACTCGTCGATCGCGACATAATGAAACATCCCAATTCTGTGTCTGTAGGGCGTCAGGGAGATTCTCGGGCAAAATCACTTTAACAAACTTCCATTGGGGTAAAATATTGTACTTTGAAAAGACACGTTCGCCATGACATGGGATAGGGACATTTCAAGAACAATCACAGTGGTTTCTCCATTTCATGATATTATGGTGGTAAGAGGAACTGCGAAATCCACTGACAACCTAACTATGTCTTCAAAGGACTAGTGGTTGCCTTTTAAGCAACTAGTTAAATGCGCTTATTTGGTCTTACCGACGAGTTTTCAGGTAGCCTATCAGTAGTATATATAGACGGGACAAAGCGACCTAATGTGTTCGAAGATAGTTCGTATATTATCGCGGTAGAAATGCAGTCACATGAAACGCCTGTCGTTTGTTGTCCACAAACAGAACCTCCTCGAGGGCAGTAACATGGTAGAGAGTAGCGGCGAAGACGAACAGAGGAAACTCGTTTGTCAGGCAGCACAGTTCCATACTGCATCTCAGGAACGTCGGAAGCAGTCGAACAACTACGCATGCACTACAAACCGATGTTTCTGTGTGAGCAGTGGGACCCTGAAACCAAGACAACGCATTTTCGCGATATTGGATCCAACAAACAGAAGTCGCACACAAC